TAATTATACTCTTGTCAGTAATTGTCTGCTCCACGAGGAGACTTTCATGAATCACATTTATTCGCCATTGACTTTGATAAAAGAGAAACAGAGAAAGAGAGTGAGAGAGAAAGAGAGAGAGGGGGGGAATAAAAGAAAGTCGACATCGATGGAAACGGTGAAACGGGCTAGATTATTTCTGCCGGTGTAATTACGACGCGGTGTTGAATTGCGTCCGTCGATATTTCGACGCCGGAGGGAGAAGGGTCCCGGGTCGCTGGCCATTAAAATCAGTTTCGTGTTACCGCGGGACCCGTGGACGTTCTTTCCTCCTCTCCTATATTTTGTTCCTCCTTTCTTTCGTTCTCTTTTTTTTTTCTTTTTTTTTCTCGTCCGCGTCAAATAAATATCCACCGTGGACAGGGTTATATCATGTATACGTCGCCGTGCGTGTGCACGCTTGGGAAATGAACACATGGCGTATAAATACGAGGGCCGCGCGCGACGGAACGCGGGATGAAATTTTATACGCGCCCGTGAAATCGATTTCATCGATGACGGTTATGTAAACTCCGAATTGCACGGAGCTCCTGTAAATACGAGGAAAAATGAGCAAGAGACGGACGACACCCCCGTTCGCGATCCTACCTGGCTGGAAAATATCGTAGCCGACCGTTCTTTTTTTTTTCTCTCGCTGATTGTTACAGGCTGACGCAGTTCACCGGATACAACCCGGCGGATCTGATCGAGAAGTCTTTGTACCAGTATGTGCACGCGCACGAAGCATGGCAACTGAAGTACAATCATGAAGTATGTAAGTACACTGGCTCACGAGTAATTTCCAACACTCGTCATCGATCATTGAAATATTTCCGATCAAACGTACGCCACCATTTTCGATTGGGAAACGAATACAGAAATGTACATTCTTGTCATTTTTTATCTCTATTTTTTAAGCGACCCTAGTCGGCTACTACAGCAGTGGTTGCTATTTGAATTCTCTCGTGTCGACAAGATTTTCATCGTTCCAAAGTCATCTCGCAGTCATGATGATTATTCAAGTTCTACCTAGTTCGGTGAAACTAAACGCGTTTTATGTGTAGAAATTTCATGGCAAATGAATCAAATGATAGCATATTGGTATAGAAAAGATCGCTATGTATCGCTAAAATATACTCTGATTTCTGCAGAATTTAAGTATCAGTGCTATATAGTGTGTGACTACTTCCCCGAAACATTTTGTGTAAACAGTAGCACGAATAATATGTAACATTTTTACTACTAAACCGTATAAAAATGTTTTGTGTATTATTCATACAACTAGTATGTTATTTATATTTAACTGTTTACCGCGACTAATATTATAGAACGCGCTCAACATTAAATATTTACGTACAGTATGCGGACCTAACATTAACTGGACAAGGCAAAATTTGTAAATGCGTTATCAGACCGTTTTGATGCAGCAGTTGGCTACAAAAAACAAAATGGCATTACGATAAAAGTGTTATGATAAACATTACCATTTTAACGCTTCATTTACCGGGTGTCTATTCATAGATATCTCAATGACAGAACTGTGTCTAAGAGAAGTTCGATCATTTTCTTCTGAATAATAACTTCAATAGAACTTGTTACATTGTGTTAATCTAAATATTAGGTCTACCAGAAAGTTCTGTCCGTTTTCGAATTGAAATATAACACAATTTTCATACATTTAATAATATTTATTCTAGAATATACTTTCTATCGTTACTTATGACTTCTTGCCAGCGTGTGTACATTTAAAAGAAAATGGTTTGTGCGTCAACCTTGACACGCAGTAATCAGAACGTCCGCAGTATTTGACTCGCAGTAATAGATACATAACCGCAGTAATATATGCACAGGATACAGATTCTTTATTACATTACGCTTTTTAATGAAATTTGTGCTTTCAGAGATCCAATATCTTGAGAAAAGTAAATATTCAAGTTAAAGAATAATATTAGGTCTATCGGAAAGTTCTGTCCGTTTTTGAATTGAAATATAACACAATTTTCATACATTTAATAATATTTATTGTAGAATATACTTTCATATATATATTAGAATATACTTTGAATATTAGAATCTACTTTGAATATTAGAATATAGAGTTTTTGAATATTAAAATCTAGAATTTGAATATTAGAATATACTTTGAATATTAGAATATAGACTTTGAATATTAGAATATAGAGTTTGAATATTAGAATATAGAATTTGAATATTAGAATATACTTTGAATATTAGAATATAGACTTTGAATATTAGAATATAGAGTTTGAATATTAGAATATAGAATTTGAATATTAGAATATACTTTGAATATTAGAATATAGACTTTGAATATTAGAATATAGAGTTTGAATATTAGAATATAGAATTTGAATATTAGAATATACTTTGAATATTAGAATATAGACTTTGAATATTAGAATATAGAGTTTGAATATTAGAATATAGAATTTGAATATTAGAATATACTTTGAATATTAGAATATAGACTTTGAATATTAGAATATAGAGTTTGAATATTAGAATATAGAATTTGAATATTAGAATATACTTTGAATATTAGAATATAGACTTTGAATATTAGAATATAGAGTTTGAATATTAGAATATAGAATTTGAATATTAGAATATACTTTGAATATTAGAATATAGACTTTGAATATTAGAATATAGAGTTTGAATATTAGAATATAGAATTTGAATATTAGAATATACTTTGATATTAGAATATAGAATTTGAATATTAGAATATACTTTGAATATTATAATATAGAATTTGAATATTAGAATATACTTTGATATTAGAATATATTATATATATAGAATATACTTTGCCATTTTTAAAAAATAATTTATTTTTAGAGGCGAAGAACTCGACTAGTGCTCGGTTGACATCAGCTTCGGTTTTGAATTTTTTTTCCTGTAAAAAGTTTTGCAAAGAGAGAAACAAGTGATAATCGGGGGGTGCTAGGTCCGGGGAGTATGGTGGATGCGACAGAATTTCCCAGCCTAGCTCTGCGATTTTCCGACGAGTCGCCAAAGCAGCATGTGGTCTGGCATTATCATCGGTAGCCATGTTTTCACGATCGCGTCTCGCTTAATAATGACACGAGACATCTTTGTTTCAGTTTATTTAGGAGAGTACATGCGTGTAAATGCAATGATAAAGAGAGATAGTCATATATGTCTCGAATCAACATGTGCATATGGATTGGAACTTGAAGCGACACTATCGGACAGAACTTTCCGGTAGACCTAATAGTTTCATGGATTGTCAATGAGACGATTCTAGATTTTGAATAATCTTTAAGGAAATTTTTACCTTCTGGTCCTCAATTTTTGGAAAACTCCGTTAGAAAACCGCCGGTAGATAATAAGTGTTAATACAATACAGAAAATGTTTATTCACACTAGAGGGTGTTTATTCATCGGACAGATCAACACATTATTCGTGTAAATCGACGAAATTACACACAGCCTGTTATCTTTCCATCTCGTGGACCGTGCATCCAGTAATTATCCGCCAGAGCATTTTTAGATGATCCCAGTGATCGTAAAACAAAAGAATCGGCAATTTTCCAAGTTTTCGGAAACCTCGGAAATTCGCAATTTCGGCGAGTTCGGTTGTCCTAGCGTTAATAGCGGTGTAAACGTCGCGTCGTGGAATTTCGCGTTTGGAAAAAAATCTGAAGTAGAAAGCGGTAGGTGTCGGCCGGAAATAGGCCCTATTTTCCCCGTGGCGTGGCGTCCGAGAGCGGTCTCGGAGGCGTCGACGTGGTATCCGAGTGCTCGAAGAAGAGGCTCTCGCAAGGCCAGAAGCAGCTGACGCTGCTTAACTCGGCGACGCCCTCGCTGGCGAAATATCCTTTGATCTTTCCTTTCTCCCATCCACGGTAGCCGAGTTTTGAGGAGAACCAGCACGACGAGGAGAACAGCCAAGTATAACAGCATTTCCCTTTTTCTCCTCTTTTTCCTCCGTTGTCGCCGTTGCCGTTGTCGAGCAGCGGCCGCGCGCCCGCGCCCGCGCACTCGCCGACGCGTTAACCTCTAAGTATGTGCATACGTAGTACATACAGGGTGTACATTATTGATTGAACAATGCCGCTACGGTCGCCACGGGCAGAGAGTAAAAGAGAGACTGCACCCGTGTATATACGTGTGCACGTGTGCACGTGTACGGACGTCGATGTGGAAGAGGGGGGGGGGGATAGAACGAAAGAGGGATGAAAGGGGTGGTAGAAGAGGGCAAGAGAGGAGAGGAGGCTGTTACTGCTATCACTGTTTGAACAGACTCGCAGTTTCACGAGCACAACTCGAAGGGAACCCTGACATAATGCCACTAATGTCTGCGCCTGCGGATTGTACGATCGACGTTACGCCCAAAAATTTTCTTTCACCCTATCGCAGCTCTCTCTCTCTCTGCCTTGTAATCTATTCTGAGATCTAAATCCGCGGGTCCAAATTACTTTCTATCTTAAACGTCTGCTCGACTCTCGCGACGAGGCGGGATATTATAGCGCAGTCGGTATTCGGGCAAAGAAGTAAATTCGCCCCAATTTTCCTTCAGCTTGCGAACGGAAATGGACGATTTGGGAGGAGAAGATACGATTATTCGAGCCTTGCGACTCGTTTTTATTTAGTTAACGATTGTCAACGACTATAAAAACGAGGCGCAAGGCTCGAATAATCGTACCTCTTCGTCCCAAATTATCTATTTTTGTTCACATGTTTGGGGGAAAATTCGGGAGAATTTACTCTATAAGTAGAACCGCGACTGTTGGAGATGTTTTAATGTTTAGCTAATTGCGCTATCGTCGATGAATAGTACATTAATACTTAATAATGATTTGAATCCGAAACTGTTGAATATGAATCGAACATGCAATTTAGAAGCGCCAATATAATGTACATCGAAAATCGTAATTGTCTCGTTTTACTAAATTGGTGGGTCAATTCGAGGTGATAGCTTGTCGCCTCGCGCTTTCTTTGATCTATTTCCCGACATTTCGCTACTGCTTCAACTCGGAAGACGCTTGGACGAGGAAAGTTAGGGTTCGACGATTTTAAGGTAGCTCTTGGACAACGGATTTCGCGACAAGACCTCGATGAACGGCAACTCCTGTCGCCGTTGCATTCGTATACACACATATTTTTGTCGCGCGTGTAGTTGATGGCTTGCAGTATATGCAAGTTTGATTACGGAGGAAGATGCCTCGTGATTTTTCTGTGCTCTTATCTCCTCTTCTCAAATTGTCCGTTTTTGTTTGCAAGCTCAAGGGAAAATTAGGGAGAACTTAACTGTACATATTACCAATATCCTTCCAGCAACTTCCTGCACAAGATAAATTAATTGTTGGTAGAAGGATAAACGAATTGTAGACAGTGAATTTGGTTAGTAGTCACGTATGTTAAATATTTATTGTTTGTACAGCTTCGTTGCTTTACGATCGACAATCTATCGAGGACTAACTACATCGTTACACGTATATCGCTTATTCGTCGCAACGAGGCAGGACGACGTCATTGTCTCTTAATCGATGCCGAGCTTCCAATTTTGCCGACGTTATAATCGTTCTGGATTTTCACTGTTTATAACATACATACTTATACCATACACTTACCTGAAAGACAAACATCGAGTACCGGTTCGTCGTATTCGAATCGTTCCCTTCCCAATTAAGCAAGCTGAGCGAAACTTGCCGACAATTCTTTCCCCCAAATTCTGCCAACATCGTCCAACTTCCTGCGCCAATGACCAATTAGGAATTCTTATAGATTTCCGAGCGAAGAATAAGAACATAAAAAACATTTCTCTCCGTTATTCTTCATTTATCTCACAGCCTTTGCATTTCATTGAAGTAAAAAGAGAAATTTTTGATATCATTCTGAAATCAAATGATAATAATATATAATAATAATATATAATAATAAATATAAAAAATATATAATAATATATACTATAATAATAACTAATAATAAAATATTAGTATTATAAATACAGTATTATAAATATAGTATTATAAATACAGTATTATAAATATAGTATTATAAATATAGTATTATAAATATAGTATTATAAATACAGTATTATAAATATAGTATTATAAATACAGTATTATAAATATAGTATTATAAATACAGTATTATAAATATAGTATTATAAATACAGTATTATAAATATAGTATTATAAATACAGTATTATAAATATAGTATTATAAATACAGTATTATAAATATAGTATTATAAATACAGTATTATAAATATAGTATTATAAATACAGTATTATAAATATAGTATTATAAATACAGTATTATAAATATAGTATTATAAATACAGTATTATAAATATAGTATTATAAATACAGTATTATAAATATAGTATTATAAATACAGTATTATAAATATAGTATTATAAATACAGTATTATAAATATAGTATTATAAATACAGTATTATAAATATAGTATTATAAATACAGTATTATAAATATAGTATTATAAATACAGTATTATAAATATAGTATTATAAATACAGTATTATAAATATAGTATTATAAATACAGTATTATAAATATAGTATTATAAATACAGTATTATAAATATAGTATTATAAATACAGTATTATAAATATAGTATTATAAATACAGTATTATAAATATAGTATTATAAATACAGTATTATAAATATAGTATTATAAATATAGTATTATAAATATAGTATTATAAATACAGTATTATAAATATAGTATTATAAATACTTTCATAACAAATGATACTTAATATGTTCGCATTTGTTCACATGTGAACAGATCTTCTTCGTATAGAAAATATTAAAGAATAAAAGACCTTTTTTCTGATCAGGGAAATAAAATAGTTTTAGTCTGTTGCTGTACGAAGGAAACGTTGAACGATCATTGACTACTGACAAAGGAAATGCGACAACGCGAAAATTCTAATTATCTTGAAACTGCAAGTTCGATCGAGATCTTAAAAGAAGTTTTGAGCCACTTATGTGTGTACGTAAGTGTTTCCCTATTTGACCATAAAATGGTTACAATAAAAATTTAATGGTTTTCTATGCTTTTTAAATAGATATCATTAAAACGATACAAATTCTTTTGTTTAAATAAAAATATCCGCATTGTTCGATGAGTTTAATACGCGCGTCTTCGTTTATAAAGATTTTCGACGAGAGGAAAAATGCAAACTACTTTGAATAATGGTAGCGACAATCTTTTTATTCGAATGAAATTTTTTTTATCGTTTCAGTAACATATCTTTAAAAAGCCTAAGGAACTATTATTTTTTTAATGGAACTATTTTGTTATACCTACTGCTGTATTAAAGATATATGTACAGATAAATAAACAAATAGATAGCAGAAGAGACGAATTCTGGCCGATAACAAAAATAGCTCAAGATTTCTCTTACGGTGTCCAAAAAAACCCCGCACAGTTTCAAAAAGATTAGAATTTTCTGATTTCCGAAATTCCTCTGTGAAACATGTTTAAATGTTTATAATTCTACATATGTTTATAATACACTACACCGCCTTATTCAGAAAAGTATACTTATTCAGGAATAGGTTACAGTTAAATCCAAAATTAATAATAACAAATAAAATATATAAAAATTAATATATAAAATCGTACTGACTTCTTCAAAATTAAGTGTTTCACAGTTCAAACATATCAAATAAGTTCAAACCGATTCCACTACTCTCACTATAAAAAATACAATAAAGCTGCAAAAAAAGCTCTGACGACTACAAAAATCTAGACTTGCTTTGTACGAATTATAACTTGGATTACGATACTGTTCACGTGTCGATGTATCCATTTTTGTTTTGTGTTCACAGTGCTGCACAAGGGCCAAGTAACAAGTAAATACTACAGGTTCCTGACGAAATCGGGGGGATGGATCTGGATGCAGTCGTGCTTCACCGTAGTCCAGAATTCGAGAAGCTCCAGGCCCCTTTGCGTGGTGTCGGTGAACTACGTGTTATCGGAGCGGGAATGCAAAGATCTGGCGTTGAGCCTCGAACAGATATGTCCTTGCTCTAGCCCCGGCAATCCACCTAGCGCGTCCCTGGAAGCACCGACGCCCTGCGGAGCGGCGAACGATCTCAAGCACAACCTCAGCCCGCCCGCGTTTCCGAACAGGACGAAGGAGTCGCCTGATAATCATTACACGGACGTCGCTGCTTATCCAAATCCGGAGTACATCGGATCGACCAATCACAGTCATTACTTGTCGCCGCCTTACGCGGCGCACGGCGTAAACGGCAACGCTCACCAAGATGGCTCGTACTATAATTGCGACTTGTTTTACCAGTACGGAGGTAAGGAGAGCTCGAAACCTTCTTTTTCACTTTGGGATTTGCTTGCGACAGACCATGCTACGTTCTCGACGCAACCGGTCGAAACGACTGGTCTCTGATTTTTTTCTTATACAGTTGTCGAAACTGTGAAAATGTTTCTATGAGAAACTTTGGGATAAGCTCGTTTATTCGAGCATATATTGCAACAGAGATCGTATGCAGCTCGAGCAAATTTAATCTTGCCGTTGTTAAACATTTGTTAAACGCTTGCTGAACGTCTGCCGCGTCATGGTCAAACGAAGCATAATAAATATATAGAAATTGAGTGGCTTTATAGAAGTCCTGCTTCTCGCGGGACAAGTCAAGACAGATGTAAAATGTGAATCTAGCGAGTTAGGAAAAGTTTTCAATGTAGGCTTAACCCTTTGCACTCCGCTGGGACATCGTGGGACATCGTAATTCTAGCATATCGCTCGGATGTCCCCTCTCGTGGGACATTAAAGTTTATTAGCGATTACGGGGAATTGAGTTATTTCAGCGCAACTTTTTGAGACATGCATGTTTCCCCGAAGTTTTCTCTTGAAATGGCACAAGACATCAAATCAAAATATAGTAAAATTACTAAGATATATACAAGAAGTGTCAGCGGGTTTTGACGAGAACGTGAGAGGCGTGCTCACGACGGTCCGAGCACTTCGAAGGCGCCACTTGAAAAGAGCGA